CGAAGGATTGAAGGCCCCGAAAATGTGACTTTAAACTAGAAAATTCGCGATTGTAAAGGAAATGTTTACGATTTTTGCGACTTCATTCAATCGTTGGCAGGATATTAAGGATGGGAAGTTTTCCAATTGAGACCCGCTGTATTGGAAAACATAAGCATTCTACAGGGTGACCAAGGTAAGAGTGCATTATACATCTGAACATTTTAACCTAGCATGTTTTTAACCAGTTCGATGCATTCTTCGCGTCCGTCGGCTGAAAATAACGTAAAATTTGAGACATTTTGAAAAAATTTCATTTTTTAAAATTAGGTTTTTCTAAATGGCAACAATACTTGATTCTTGCTTTACCGAATAGAGCATTTTATTACGATTTCTATGCTAGATCACATCGTTAGGTTTTTTCCGCAAATAAAGTGTCTGCGAACAAATCATACTTTTTCAATTTAGTTGATCGAAGTTAGCCATGGAAAATAGTATAAGACATACAGCATTGTTTCCATAGTAGCAAATAATAACATCTTTCAATTTTTGACATTCAAGTACCGAACGTGTTAAGCACTTTTTCCAATAATTCCTTTAGAGGCAACAGACTCAAACAAAAAGATTTGCCAGAAATAATACGTTTGCATGTAAGCAAATCAAAATTTTTTGGACCAACCAATACCTGATTCTGGAGCTAATTCCCTCTGATCGGACGGTTGAACCACTGTTGTTTCTTCGTGCGTGTGTGTTCGTACTTCATTTTCCTGATTCTGTTGGCCATAAGGTGATTCCAGAGGCCTGGATAAGTAGACGCTGTTCGCTTCAAGATTCAAATTGAGCATATAAGAATTTGAAGTTGATAAGCCAGTCAGTGATGGCGATATTTGCTCATTGTCTGAATCTGTCAATTAAATAAACGCTTATGAGTAACTAATTAATCCTATACAATCCTGGAGCCAATAAATGATACTGGCAACAATTCTGTGACAAGTGATATTTTTTTGCCAGATAAACTGACCTCAGCTTAATGACATTAGAACAGTAAAGTTAAGTTAAAGTAACTGTATATTTTTTCACTAAAATTGACAATTATCATTTTTCATTCAAACACCCTGTATATTATCTGACCCTGACATTTTCGGAACACCCTGTATATTATCTTTGCACTGCGTGTCAAACTACCAAGTAGTATCCATGGCAACGACAAAATTATTTCGATACAAACATGTACACTGTCAAATTGAAATCTGCTGCCTCGTTCCAGGTGTGGAACTTTTTGGACTAGTTTGGAACGGGACAAATTTTCAATTAGTCGTGGAAAAAGTAGAGTGAAAACTCGACTCTTATCGTCATTAGTTCCTTGTGGCCACCTTCATTTATGAACGCACTATCATTTAATCTACCATGGAAAAACAGCTGATGAATAAGGTTAGGCTATCTGACGTTTCCAATCAAAACATGATATTGAATTTTGCCGCTTTTTTCATTCATTGTTATAAACACAGTTCCTTTTACTGCTTCGATAATCCGGAAATAGAAAATGGATTTACTAGAAACTGTACTACGTAGTTGTCAAGCTGAACAATACATCAACAACTTTAAAGACCATAGAATCGACACGTATATTCTAAAACTCCTGGTTGAAGAAGATCTAGAACTCATAGGCATCGACGATGAAGAAACCAGAGTCAGGGTCCTCCAGCACTTTGCCAACTTACAAATACCCACCGAAAAGAAACGAGATATTACAGTCAACCATCAATTTCTGGGCTTAGTGTTAACACAGATTAAAGTCCAATTGATGAAGCATTTCGCTAATCTAACGTTCGCTTTGCGAAAGACGGACGTGGATTTGTGCTACATCAAAATTAATCCAGCTATTGTGTGCTTGGAAAATTGCATCAGTTCATTTGAGCATCAAGTGGAAGACCTCGAAAGGAACATTCTGAAACCGAAATCATCACGAAATTCCAACCGAGCTCTGCTGCTATGTGGAACTTTAGCCACCTCAATGCTTTTTCTTTTCGCATTTGCCAGATACACTAAATGGGCTTCTCCCTATTAAGGCTACGTTTCGATGTAAGCAATTTATTCATTTATTTTACTATGTTTTACACCTCGCTTATGCAACGATCAAGTACAATGATATTGTATATTAAAACGTTTCTTAACAGTCAACAATGCGATGTAGTCAATGATGAATATAAAAACGTCTAATGGATTGAGGTCTGGAAATCTCGGTGGACCAGCAACTCTTCAAATTCCACTTTTCACTGAAAATGAGTTACACGAATAGCATGAGTGTTGACCACAGATGATCATTGTGGAAATTGTTGATTGCATCTCTTGGAAATGTAGCTTCGTCACAGAAAAGGGTTCTTGAAATACAATTCGCCTAGCAAACCTACCTGTTAATCGAAGATTTGTTAATCTTCTGCTGAACGTTTACTTGTCCGGAACACGGCGATTTTGGCACTGTTGGTATTCTCTCAGGTCGGCACTACCGCTACAATATCCACTCACGAAAATAATGTCAGCGTAGTCTTCATTTGAATGCGTTAAACGCATTACATTTAAAAGAATCAATGATGACAATAAACGACTTGCTTATTCAAATGAGTGGCACCATTCTGAATCACCATGAACATTGAATAATTTTTCCATAGCGCAAAAAAAGTCGCAATTTACCCATTAATAACAAAACCGTTTTCTACCTGTATTGCCGAGCTCGTGAGGAATTTGCTGTACCCAGTTCGGTTCTTCTTGCGGAGGTGCTTCATAATTAGGCGACAATCTCGTAAAATTTGTGGAGAACAAGTTTCCTTTCCGATAGCGGACATATCCGTCGGTAAATACAATGGGCTCCGAAAACGATTCTATGTAGCCACCTTCTAGAAGTGCTTGCGATAAAGCAGCTGCTTGCACCCTACAAAATATGAGCCTCCTCAAATAGAGAACAACATCTACATTTAATCTTTTACCGAGTTTTTGCCTTTTGCTGGCAAATCAACCAGTCGACCAACTCAGACCCTAAAAAGCATTCAGGATAAGTCCTGCGGCGATGTTTGTAAGGACCGAAATTGATTCCTGTAGTAGATTTGCAGATTTCATCAAACAGGTTTTTTAGAGACGCGGAATTTTGCAGAGCCTTGCACTTCTCTTCATTCGAAAGGTATGTCGCAGAACTGTAAAATAAAGTCATAATTGTTGATTTTATAGCCCAGCTACGCAATGTTGCAGTTGAACCTTTCAGTGCCAAAACGCTCTTCCTGATACCCAACGGAAATTTTCCTTCTTAGCCCTTCACAGCTTTCAGATGCATTTAGAGCAGCATTATGTGCTATTTCATTGGCCAATAAGGTACTTGGAGAGTCTCCAAATTTGCTCTGCAAGTTTTCTTGCAACGCCTTTAAATCGGTCGACAGATTCTCATTGAAGTTCGAAGATTGAAGATAAGACAATACTACTTTGCAACAATAAGTGCACACTCTCAAATCTCCTGCAAGCCCAAACTTTTAGCAAAGTGTTAAATTAGAGCCAATTATTTCGCTCACCTGTACATCCGAATATTTTGCCAGGAATTTGCTGATTGCAGCATTGAGAACAGAAAATCTGACCACATACTCTGCAATGGTGTCTTCTTCGAAATGTTGTGAATTTTTCTGAGCACTCGTAACACTCCTTACTTACTGAATCTGGCATCCAATACTGCTTTAAATCTGTGTCGGCATAGTCTTGCAAACTCTACATTTAATTGTAAGTATTCGATTAAATCACTAGCGCAACTACACCTTAACTTACGTTAGTTTTAAGTGCCAACAGATTACTGATTCTTTTTAGAACATTTGGTAGACTTCTGCCTTCATCTAGGTCTACCGGGTAAATATTTGGGGAGGACGCATCTGATGGGGTGGTCGAATCTTTATCCCATGTGGACCCACCCTCTGAGCTGGCAGTATTGTTGTCCGAGTTTTGCACATGTTCAGTTTTCGATATTTTGAAAAATTTTGATAGAATTTTACCCACACCTTGAGGTTTCTCCTCTTGTTGCAGTGGGGCAAATTCTGTTAATTTCGTTAGCGACTGTAAGTTTTTGCTCATGATTCCTGCAGTCGGGTCAACTTACGATAAACATATCGAGTTGTTATTATTTATTTTCTTCTTTGTTTTTGTTGTCTCATATGACTGTATCATAACCTATAAATGTCAGCGTGTCAGCCTGCAGTGACCGTAGCAATTTGGGTACGTTCCTTAAGGAAAGTTGGGAATAAGGCCGCACCCAGCTAAGTACAGTAGAAAATATTATGAGTCCCTAATGTTGTTATTTTTCGAAAGTCAACTGATTTTTGTTTCGTTTTAAAATAC